TATAATTTTATTAAATATATTTTCTGGGCCTTTGATCTGCAGTTCTTCTCCTCCTTCAATCCCTATTATTCTTAGATTTGGTTTTTTTATTGTGTCCCAGATTTCCTGAATGTTTTGTGAAGAGAATTTGTTGGATTTGCTGTTTTCTTTGACCAGAGCATTATTTCCTCTATGGTATCTTCAGAATCTGAGATTCGTTCTTCTATCTCTTGTATTCTATTGGTTATGCTTGATTCTGTAGTCTCCGTTCGTTTACCTAGGTTTTCCATATCCAGCCGGTTCTCGGTTTGTGTTTTCTTCATTGCCTCCATTTCAGTTTTCAATTCTTGGACTGTTTCCTTTACCTGTTTGATTGTTTTTTCTTGGTTTCTCAGGGTATCATTCACGGATTTACTTATTTCTTCAAACTTTTTGTTATATTTCTCATCCATTTCTATACTCATTTCTTCAAACTTTTTGTTATACTTCTCATCCAATTCTTTAAGGGAGTTATTCATATCCTGTTTAAGGAACTCTATTGCTTTCATAATGGCACTTTTCCCCACTTCTTCTGGGTTAGAGTGTTCAAGTCCTTCTATTGTAGGGTCGTTGGGATCTGGTGTTTTCATGTTGTTTTTCAGATTGTTGGAGGAGGTCTTGCCTTGGCGTCTGCCCATCTCTTCCTTCAACTGCTCTCTATTGGAACTTCTGGTAGCGGGTCAGGTTCCCTTGTTGGGCAGGGAATTCACTGATAGGATGCCTATCTTTTCTCAGGCAGGCTATTGAAGCACAGGCACTCCCTCTTTCTGGGATGCGCCTACAGCACAGGCCCAGCGTGCAAGGCAGCTGAGCTGGGGAAATTTTATGGCCCCAGTGGGAAGGGAGAAATATAGGAATTTGTACCTGGATGGAAGCTGGGATGGCAGGCGGGAGAGCTTAGCAGGGTGGAGCCAGCACTGCAGGGTGACCTGGGAGTCTATGGGGTCGGGGAAAGTCCAAGCTCCTCCTCGCCGGGCCCCTGCTGCGGGTCCAAAGCAAACTCACCCCTCTGATGGACCTCTGGATGGAAGCTGGGATGGCTGGCCCTTGTTTGTCTTGAACCTTTGCAAAACGACGTAACTTGCAGCTAAAGCCAAGTTGGGGTCTTTCAACACCAGGCTATTAATCCCATCCACTTCCAGCCTTCGAATAAACAACCCTGTGTATTTAATATTCTAGGTTCCCTTAGCTCATCTCCATGCCTCCTACAAATATACACATGCACACACATAAACATACACATGCACACATAAATATATACATGTACATACACACAAACACACATAAACATACACATGCACACATAAATATATACATGTACATACACACAAACATACATGTGCACACACATAAACATGCACAGGAGCACACATAAATATACACATGCACACACTTAAATATATACATGCACACACATAAATATGCACATGTACATACACACATAAACATACACGTTACACAGGTGTGTTTACACATAAGACAGTATTACTACATGAACCTGTGACTGGGTAGTGTTCTTAAAAAAAATACCGACTCACACAGTTTTTAATCCCTGAGTGGCAGAGACTCTCGTCTCACCTCAGCTGTCTCAGCCAGAGACCCTCTGGAGATGACCTGCACCCTGCAGCTCAAGCATTCCCTTTCTGGCCTCATCCTCCTGCCTCCTGGCCTGTTTCCAGCACCTCAGTCCCTCACCCCTTCTGTTTACCTCGAATCAATCAGCCTTCCCCTTCCCTTCCCTTCCTTCTCTATCTAGCCATCTTTGGCTGTGTGGCCACCACTTTACTAACACCCCGGGCAGTGACCTTTTCTTTCCGTTCCCTCTCTTACTGGTGAAAACTGGGCAAAGCTCATGCATGGAGCCATCGTTCTGCTTCCACATAACGCTGACGGAGAAAGTCACATGACCTTCAAAGTGAGTACTGGAGTGCTAACTGGAGAGCGGGAGATACGGCTCAGCAATCGAGGGTAAATGATGCTCTTCCAGGGGACCTGGGGTCAGCTGGCTTACACCTGTCTGTAACTCCAGCTCCAGTGTGTGTTTCTGGCCTCGATCATGGGCAGTCATGTGCAAACACCCACCTACCGACACTCAGCTACCTACATAGTTAAAGAATAAAATAAATCTTTAAACAACAACAACAATGAAGTTTTGACCAGAAATTCAGAACCCTCAGTAGAAATAACCAAATCATGACACAGAGACTTATTATTAGTTAGGAATGCTTGGCCTTATCTTACGTTTGTCCCACTAGCTCTTATAACTTAAGTTAACCTATTTCTCATCATCTACATTTTGCCTCAAGGCTTTTTACCTTTCTTTCCTTCTGTATGTCCTATTCTGTGTCTGGCTGACTGCTAGTTTCCTGGCTGGCCAGTCCTGGGCATCCCCCTCTCCTCTTTTTCTTCCTCATTTTCTCTTCTCTAGAGCCTAGATTCCCCCTCCTAGTTATTCTTTCTCCCCACCAGAGCCGCCTATCCTTGTACTGCCTAGCTATTGGCTGTTCAGCTTTTTATCAGACCAATCAGGTGCCTTAGGCAGGCAAAGAGACCAACACATCCTTACATCGTTAAACAAATGTAACATAAACAAACACAACTTTTCATAGTTAAAGTAATATTCTTCAACGCAGGGTATTATTTCAGTTTTCTTGTATCTGATGAGACTTGCTTTATGGCCAAGTATGTAGACATAAGCTTTGGAGAAAGTTCCATGAGGTGCCGAGAAGGTATATTCTTTTGTGATTGAATGAAATGTTCTGTAAATATCAGTTTAGGGTATCAGTTAACTCCAGCATTTCTCTGTCTGGTTTTTGTCTGAATGACCCATCTATTGGTGGGAGTGAAGTACTGAAGCCACCCACTGTCACTGTATGAGGATGAATATGTGACTTAGCTGCAGTAGTGTTGCTTTTATGAACCTGGGTGCCCTTGTGTCAGGTGTGTGTTAAGATCGCAATATCCTCTTGGTGGATTTTTCCTTTGATGAGTATGTAGTGCCCTTCTCTATTTGTTTTAATTAGGTTTGAAGTCTTTATGTCAGATATGAAAATGGCGTTGCCAGCTTGTTTCTTAGGTCCATTTGCTTGGAATATCTTTTTCCAGCCTTTTACCCTGAGGTGATGTCTACCCTTGATGTTACCGTGTTTCCTGGATGCAGCAGAAGAATGCGTTCTGTTCTCCCATCCATCCTGCTAGTCTGTCTTTTCATTGGGGAATGGAGACCATTAATGTTGAGAATTACCAGTGAGCAGAGTTTGTTGATCTCTGTTCTTTTGTTGTTGTATGAGCTTCTGCCCTTTTTGATTTTAATGGCCTGATATTTATTCTTTGTGTTTTCTTGGGTGTAGTTGAAACCTTGAGATTGAAGTTTTACTTCTAGCACCTTTCGTGGGCTGGATTTGTAGAAAGATACTGCCTGGATTTGGTTTTTATTATGTAATGCCTCTCTTCATCCATCTATCGTGATTGTAAGTTTGGCTGAGTATAGTAATCTGGGCTGACATCTGAGTACTCTTTAGAGTTTATGGAACATCTGTCCAGCCCTTCTTGCTTTTAGAGTCCCCATTGAAAAGTCAGCTGCTATTCTAAAGGATAGCCTTTAGATGCTATTTGGTCTTTTTCTCATTTAATATTTTCTCTTTGTTCCGTATGTTTAGTGTTTTGATCATTATGTGATGCGGAAAATTTCTTTTTGCAGTCCAGTCTCTTTGGTGTTTTGTATGCTACTTGTACCTTGATAGGTACCTCCTTCTTTAGATTAGGGACATTTTCTTCTATAATTTTGTTGAAAATACTTTCTGTGCCTTTGACCTGGGTTTCTTCTCCTTCCTCCTCTCTTCCTATTATTCATAGATTTGGTCTTTTCATAGTGTCCCAGATTTCCTGGATGTTTTGTGTATCCTTTTTTAGATCCAGCACTTTCTTTGACATAGGTATCTATTTCCTCTACTGTACCAGTGATGTTTGAGCTTCTATTTCATCTCCTGAATTATGCTGCTGAGACTCCTGCCTCTGAGACTCCTGCTCATCAAGGCCATTTTGCAGTTCTTGCCTTCTGCTTCAGCTGTGGTACATTTCTCAGCGCCCACTGTAGTAGGGTTGCTGAACTCTCCATTTCTCAGCGCCCACTGTAGTAGGGTTGCTGAACTCTCCATTTCTCAGGGCCCACTGTAGTAGGGTTGCTGGGCTCTAGTGGAGACATATTTGTTCTGGCTGTTATGGTTTCTGTGTTTACACTGGCATCTAGGCATCTGAGTTTGGGATGTTTGCAATTCTAGGGCTGAGATCTGATCTTATCTTTGTCAGGTGGGTGTTCCATTCATTGGGGTCTGTTGGGCTCTCTGGTTCTTAGACTGTGGTGGCTGTGGGTTGCCTGTGAGCCACACCTAATCCATAAAAGGCCACGCCTCCTAGTAGTACCACTTCCTATGGACTTATGGGGGGCATTTTTATTCAAACCACGACAACATCTAATAGATCTTTCAAGTCCTCTCAATTTTACTTTTAAAATATTGCTCTATTTTTGTTTTTCCTTCAGACTGGAAAACTCTAGGCTGGCCTGCGATATATAGTGAGGCCCTTAACAACAAAACAAAAGTTGATGCATTTTTGTTGCTTCTAACATGGTGTCTTATTTACTGTTCAAATTTACAATTAACTTTACCTGTTTCCTGCTGTAGACAGAAGTTTCTCTGCCTGATCCCACACCCATTCAGCCCCAAATAAACACACAGAGACTTATATTAATTATAAATTGTTTGGTCTATTGCACAGGCTTATTATTAACTAACTCTTACAACTTAAATTAACAAATAATTATTATCTATGTTTAGCCACATGGCTTGGTTCCTTTTCTCAGTAAGGCATTTTCATCTTGCTTCCTCTGCATCTGGCTGGTGACTTTATCTCTGCTTTTCCTCTTCCCAGAATTCTCCTAGTCTGGTCACCCCACCTATACTTCCTGCCTGGCTACTGGCCAATCAGTGTTTTATTAAACCAATACGAGTGACAAATCTTTACAGTGTACAAGAGCATTGTCCCACAACATCCTGCCAATCATCCCATCAGCAGAGCAGAAATAACTATACTCTAGACACACCATGGAAAGGAAAGCTCTCAAAAGCACACTGCTTACCCACACTTCTTTAAGAAAATATTTTCCAAAGCAATGTGACTGTTATTATTCTTTTAATTTTTAAAAAAATTACAATTATTTATTATGTGGGTATGTTTTGGGGGATATGCATGCCATCTCATACATGTAGAGGTCAGATGACAATTGTGGGAGTCAGTTCTCTCTAACATGTGGTATCCAGGATCAAGCTCAAGTCATCTGGCTTATAGGCAAGTGCTTTTACCAGTTGAGCCATCTCGCTGATCCTGAATAATTCTTCTTGATGTGGTTGTCCCCAGGGCCAGAGAAATGGCTCAGGCTACAGACAACAGCATGGGAGCATGGCAATGTGGGTAAAAGATTCTCAAACTGGACCCTTTTTCTCAACAAGGAAACTCAATTGAGCTATCAAAAAAAAAGGTTGAGGAGGGAACCCACCCTACTGTGACATTAGAGCTGATGCTAATTTGCTTTCTGTTGAATATTTAACATGCCATTTGCATAGCAGTCTTAGCAAAATCAATCCTCGTGTTTTATTATTTGGGGATTGAAAAAAAGTTTGCCTCCTAGGAGCCAAAAGTAGAGTCAGCCCTGTAGATTAGAATCAATTCAGCAGATGGAAAATAAAGCTTTGAAACACATTCTGCCTTCCCCGAGCACGTCGTAGGCATTAGTGATAATGGAAGCCCTGCCTGTGCATGGAGGGGCTGCATCTGCCAGACTCCTAACCAGCACACCCAACCTGCCCTGACTGTGCAGGCCTGTGACCTTCATGGTGGAGGAGGGCTGAACCTGGCTCCAGCATCTCCTCACCTTGGACTGGAATGCACAGGACAAACACAGGCACACACAGTGTTCTTTCCCTTGGATTGCTGAAACACAGCCAGCTCAGGCATGAATGCAAACTGACTCTATTTGTCCTTCGGGGCACTGTACCATCTAGTGGTCCAATTTGTGAGAGCTCTCCAAAATTCAGGGAGCACTAGGGGGGGAAAGTTGAAGTTCTGGGTCACCATTTTGTTTCGTTCAGTCACTTCATGTGCCTCCTAACACATTTTAAACAAAAAGATGAATCTGAAAAACTTTAAGATAGTCACTAAGAATGCCATGACTGCTCTCTCAAATACTGTCAGTCCCGTATGCTGAGATGCATTTCATCTCTTTGTTTTTAAAGATTTTATTTTTCATCATTTGTGTATATGTGTATGTATGTGTTTGCATGAGTTGTGTGTATGCCACAGGTCCACATGTGTCCAGGTTCCAGTGGAGGCCAAAAGAGGGTGTCAGACACCCTGGAGCTGAAGTTCCAAGAGATCATGAGCCTACTGATGTGGGTGGGTGCTGGGAACTCGGGTCCTGTCCAGAAGCAGTTCACATTCTTAACCACTGGCTCTTCTCTCCACCCCCCTCATCTCTTAATTTTAAGACAAGAATGAGGGAGATACTAGATCATGCAGTAAAGCACGCCCCAATCCTCTTGCCAGGGACGACACACCTTTGCCATGTGGTGAGTTCACTTTTGCTCTTCCATTTCCTCAATATAAATTCCAGGTCACGTGAGGACTTGTACTTGGCACATCTTGAATGACCATTCATGCTTTCACCTGGCCTGCCCAGAGGCCCATCCGCATTGGCAGGCTAGTGCTGTGGCCCCCAGCAAACCTTTTTGCAAGCTTCTCTCCTCACTTCTGTAGATCAAGGTCAGGAGGAACTGTCAGGATCCGTCCTGAACACGAAGCATCCCAGAACCCCACTAATGTTGTCTCGAGTGCTGGGGCAATTGCAATCATGCCTGCCTTCCAGAAAGTCATTTGAAAGAGAAGGCAGTGTAAGTGATTTGTGAAGCTCAATGATTTAGCTGTTCAAAGGTTGAAGTGGCCTATGAGAGTCTTTGAGACTTCGGCCGCTACCACGGTCCCAGGAGCTGGCCAGAGTGCTGAAGTCAGCAGTCATAGACAATTACATATACACCCACTGGCTGTATATCTCCAACAAAGCCTCCACTTACACACCCTATAGGCCAGCAGTGTAGCCCCAGGACAGGGTCAGGCGCAGCCAGAGAGTTCTCAGCAATGCCAGGCTTAGACTTATGGCATGAGGTATGTAAACAGCTAGTGGAATTTCAGAGTACATAGCATTGGATAATTCCCAGACCTAGGGGAGCTATATTTAGCTTGGGCAAGTTTGGAAAGAGCTCAGGGGAAGTGTGGTGCCATTCAAACAAACATAAATAGAATGGGGATTTGGGGAAAGGCAAACATTTCTTCAGCATCACAAATCTGGCAAGGAAAACCTGCACTGAAAATCCTGGACTGTGGAGTGTGGAGAACCCGGGAATCCAGAGTCCAGAGGGGGAAAGGACCCCACATAAATGGCTCCTACTGAGTTGCCTACGCTCTTCCAGCATCTCTCCCCTGGAAATTTTATTTCAGGCAGATTAAATCTGTCTTTTCCTTTCACTCATGTGTAATTAATGATTCTCCAAAGTCCCCAGTTTATCCCACGCTTATCTTTCTGCTGTTCCCAGGGGGAAAGCAAGAAAGGGGTGCCCAATGGGAAGCCTGCCCTGGTTCTTAGGCAGTGGACGATCCTGGGCCCGCTTCCCCCGCTGGACCCTGTGTCTTGGTTAAGGAGGTAGCAAGGCGGCATGGCTTTTCTCTAGCCTGAGGCTCCACTTCCCTATTAACATAGACACAACACTTGGTCAAAGCTGAAGGAGAAGAAATTTTCTGCTTGGTATATTTTATGGTCCCTTATTATCTCCCATACATGTCCCGTGCTTCTCCAAGGGGCACAGGAGAATGTGTCTAGTGAAAGCATTGGGGAGGGTCCCCCACTTTCCACAGGATGAAGGAGAGATCAGCCTCACACAAGACTCCGTCTGAAGCCACCCCTACCTCAACCTCAAAGGAGGTCTGGACTACTAGGCTTCTTTCCAGCTCTGGAAGCTTCCATGGCCTCTGTGAACTCATTGCCTTTCCCAGAGAGGCCGTTCTTGGATCTGAGTCTCTGCGGTGCTGTCCCGTGACAACTTTACCATGGTGGCTGGGGTAGGAGTGATGGATTTTCCTCCATTCTGCCCTATCTACTGCTCATTATGTGTGGGAGGAGTCTGGGGAGGATAAAATCGATCACTTCCCCCACACCCACTAAACATAACAACAGCTATGGTTTAGTTCTTCCATTGGGTGGGAGAAATCAGAATTGTATGTTGGTAAAGACACAATAGCCACCACAATAAAGGGGAAGGGGTAAAGTGTATATACACATATACATGTATATACATGCATACATATAGAAGTGTGTATATGTGTTTAAAGTGGGAGGATTTCAAAGTCAGGGGAGCCTGCCATCTTAGCAATGTTAAGAGCTATTGGTTTTAGAGGATGTACCCCAATTCCCATCCAAGACATGGAATCTGGTCACAGATAGGGTGCAGGGCTGGAGGCAATGGATCTCTTGCTCATCTAGATTCATGTCATCAACACTCCTAGTGGGACATTCCTTAAGTGACTCCACATGAACCCGAGAGGAGGGCATTTGAGCTTCTTAACCTCACACCCCAGGTCTGGGCTCCTCACTGTAGGACTTGCCCTAGTACCCTAGGCACATCAGAAGCTGAGAGCAAAGTGACTTAAAGGATTGGGTGAGAAGCGGGCACCAGCAATGGCGACCTCTGAGCATCTCCTTAGTACTTATCCTAAACATCACTCACAGCCGCTTCCAGAGAGAGCTGCGGGTTGTAGCTCCAAGAAAGCCCCGGTCCCAAGGCAAGATGGATGGTGAGATGAATGGGCAGACGAGGGAATGCCAGCAACCCAGGCGCATGGAGCAAGCCTCTCTTCTTTCACGAGGAGGCTGACGCAGGTGGCAACCCCAGGCAGACACAAAGCCCAGCAGCGGCTCACCTTGCCAAGCTCCGTGCTGGCCGAGGTTAGAACGGTGGGTCTCTCGTGGGACTGCTCCTCTCGCAAACCCCAGCCCCACTAACCAGCAAGTGCCCTTGAGTAGGAGTCTGGGGCTGATTTGCTGCTCTGTCCGAGGGAACCCCAAGGGCCTTGTGGCTTTAACAGGAAGGAGTCCTCCTCGTTTTAGCTGCAATCGTTTCTTCCTCTCTTCCTGCCAGGGTGATTAAATTAGCAGGCTGTTCTCCTTGGAGAACATGTGTCTACAGTCCCGGGGGGCACTGTCCACTTGCCTGTCTGAGAGATTTGGAGGAGGGAAAGCAAGGGGTGTGTGTGTGTGTGTGTGCCTGTGTCCCTCCCCATCCCTGTCCCTGGGAGGGTCTCTCCCACCTGGGATGGACACCCAGCCAGCAGCAAGGACCACAGGAAGGCGCAACACTGGGGCTCAGCTGCAGGAAGTCTGGCAGGTGGCCGCATACACGCTGCTGCCCATGGTGGCCCCGCTGCTGACGCTGCTGGTGGGATACTTGAGGGGTTTCATGCTACTGTCCCTCTGGATGTTCAAGTGCTCCAGCCTCCAGCGCTCCCAGCTCTTCCGAAACTCCATCTGGACCTTCCGTGGGAAAAAGAAGAGAGAGGGAAGCGAAAGCCATCAGGCAAACCAACTGCCCACAAAATGGCCCTGTTATTATATTAGCAGGAAAGGGAAAAAAATCCGCTGGATTATATTAAGAGACACAAGTCAAGGTCTTCAGGCGCCTAAATTAATATCCCAATAAAATTGTTTATTGTTGTCTCCTGTTTTCTGCCTCTCCTCAGGAGAGAGATGGGCTTGATGACCTAATTGGCCCGTTCTCTCTCTAAAGCCGGTGATTCAGCTAAGTACCTTCTACAATCCATCACAGCGTTGTTTAGCAGAAGAGACTGAGAGCAAGGTAGAGATGCAGGGATGGGGGTAGAACCGGGAGAAGATGGGGTCTCTCTTTATGAAGTGCTCTCACCGTGAGGCTTAGACAAGTGAAAAGGGAAGGCATGCCCAACCCTAACCTCGGTGACACCCTGCAACCCCCAAAGCTCCCTTGGGAGCTTTTGCTTTGTTCTGTCTGGGTCTGAGGTCACTGTTGTTTGTTTTCTGACAGCATACATCTCACTATATAGCCCAGGTTGGTTTCGAACTCTTCACCCTCCTATCTCAGCCCCTTAAATGCTGAGAATTACACGTGTGAACGAGCAAGTTCAGATGCCCCTTAAGGTTTTCACTCAGTTCCTGAACCTCCCAGGGCAGGGAAGGGGTGAAGGAGGCAAGGACTAGACAAGGCCCAGGACTTCTGTGCCCGGCTTTGAACCTATCCCATCCAGGGTAAGTGAAGGGAGCTTAGCTGGGCAATCTGCCCAGGTGAGCTCAGCCAACCAGATCCCCCACTGTGCTGAGCTCAGGCCTTCCCAAGGGGAAGAGGGCTCTCAGAAGGTCAGATGCCGGAAGATCAGATCGCTGGTGCAGAACGGTACACAGAACACTGAGGGGCTCCGAGTCCCTCCAGGGCTGGTGGTAATGCTGGCTCCGTCGCAGTTCTGGGACTGGGATTCCAGAGAGAGCTCTTACAGGCTGCACAGCATGTCCTGAGGGCTGGATCACTCTTCAGGGAGTGTTTCTCATTGTCTGCCTTTCCATCCTTGCCACCAGCCTCTCCATCTAGGAGTGTCTAGGGATTGTGTTCCTTTCAAACCCAAGCCATCAGGAGGGCCGGCAGCCGGCGGCTGTGTACAAGAGGCTCACTGCCAATGCCCCTACCTGCCCCTGAGCAAACACCCCTCCTCTACTCTTCCCATGCCATCCGTCTCGCTAAGCCCAGCCAGATACCCAGGGTGGTCACATGCCATCCCTTAAAAGAACTTCTGTACTGGGTAAAGCTAAGATCACCCAGATCCTGCCTACCAGGGCGCCTTGGTGTCCCAGACAGTGTCGTGGAGCCCAGGCCTAGAGGGTGAGGGAAGGAGGCATAACAGACACTACCTGAGGCTGCCTTGCCTGGCTGGGTTTGTGCAGTGCTGATAGCTGGGGTGGAGACACTGAGCCCAAGGGGCGGGCGCCCTTCTGCCCAGCTGCAGGAAAGCAAATTCCCCACAGTCTTCCACTTGGAATAGAGGGGGGGAAGTTAGTAAACGGAGGCACAGCTTAACCAGTAAGACTTAGAGCACATGATAACCCGATCCTGTCTCCCTTGGCACTTTTTCTGAGCCTCCATGGCGGGCCCCAGTCATCACTTGTCCTCAAGAACCACTCTCTAGGGGCTGCAGAGGATAGGCTGGCCAGTAAATCACCCGCTTCAGAAACCTGAGGTCCTGAGTTCAGATCTCCAGAACCCACATAAAAGACTGGGCAGGGGGAGCTGGAGAGATGTTCCAGCAGTTAAAAGCACTGACTTCTCTTCCAGAGGACCCGAGTTCAATTCCCAGCAACCATACGTGGCTCACGACCATCTGTAACTCCATTTCCAGGGGATCCAGTGCCTTCTTCTGGCCTCCACGGGCACACAGACATACACATGGGTAAAACATTCATACACTTAAAACAAAACTAAATCTTAAAAACAAGTTGAGCATGTTGGCTCAGATTTATAAACCCAGCACTGGATGGGGGTGGTGGGCGGGACAGGCTGATCCCTGGGGCTTTAACAAGTTTATGAACTCCAGATCAGCATTGTCTCAAAAGCAAGGTGGTGGGTGTCCGAGGAAGACACTTGGCACAGATGTCTGGCACTGGCCTTCACACGCTTGTGCACACGCACATATCCACACACCCAAAACGAAACGCCATTTTGGTTCCCTTCCTTGTTAACCCTGGGAAGCAGCCACCACTCCTCAAGTAAAGTGGAGGCAGCCGAGGAGAAGAACGTTATTTCCCCAGGAATTATAAAGATTTCCCCAGGGCTCAGTCAGGATTAGAACCCAGGTCTAGTCTGACTCCACCGCCCTCATCAAACCTCTGGCTTCCTGTCTTCCACAGTGCTAGAGGCCCAGCTGGTCTCCGGCTGCGTCTCCTCCCACTTAGCAGAGAGTACCTGACAGGAAGGCTGCGGCTTCCTGCTCTGAGCACCCACACTCCCAGCACAGTGCTCAGCCCACAGCAGGCACTCACTGCAGGCTGCTTCTGTGAGTCCAATGAACGACCGCTCAACCAGTGAATGGGCCTCTGATGTGAGGTCCTCTCACTGATCAGTTAGAGAAATGAAAAAAACAATGACCCTGGGGCTGGTGAGATGGCTCAGTGGGCAAAGGCATTTGCCACCAAGCCTGATGACCTGAAGTGGATCCCCGGAACCCACATGGAAGAGGGAGAGAATCGACTCCCCCAAGTTGTTCTCTGGCTTTCACCTGAGCTCGGTGGCACACAGAGCCTGCACCCCAATGAATGAATGGTTAAAAGGAAGTAAACGAATAAACGGCCGGGCGTGGCATCGGCACCGTCCACTGTTAACCCTTCCCTGCCCTCTGACCATTGATACCCAAGATCTTTCCTCGACTAAATGCCAAATCAAGCTCAGGCTTTGGTGAATCTTTCTTATCTCCACTGACCCTTGGGTAGAAGAGGCGAAGAAGACAAGGTGGCTAACCTGAGCTCACACAGCTTAGCTGTGCAGAACAGGCTGAGCACTCATGGCTCCTGAGCGACTTCACTGTGGCCCTCAGACACCAGCTGCAGTAAGCCCAATCCCAGTCCTCCCTAGACTCCCTCCCCACCGACCGGCAGCTGGTGCAGGCCTTGACAGCCACATGAGACCAATGTTCAAGCCATCTTCTCAGGTCACAAGTACCTGGCATTGCCATGGCAACTCCTGGATCTGAAGAACAGCTCTTGTGGGCAGAGGCCACAAGAGTGGCTGGGGTACATGTGCGTGAAATCACTTTGCAATAAATCAGGTGTGCCCAACCTGTAGCCTAAGGGCTGCATGCATATTAGGACAGCGGCAAATGTGGCCCAAATCATTTGTGGATGGCAGTGGCATAAGGCAAGGTCAAAAGGTCAGACAACCCTGCTCGAAATAGTCAATTAACCCTTTAACACCAGGTTGGGTCTTCCCTAAGCCCTTATTTCATTAGGGGTGTGTGTGTGTGTGTGTGTGTGTGTGTGTGTGTGTGTGTGGTGTGTGTGTGTGTGTTGGGGACACAGAATAGAATATAAAGGCAAGATATCACCTCAATTTTAGCCACAGTTGGGGAACTGGAAGTTTTGACTAGAAAGGCTGAAGAGAACCCGCACTGCATAGCCCCACACCAGCCAATGGCAGCAACCCCAGCAGGGTCCCTACCATCCCTCTGCAGCCCTTACCTCATTGTTGACAAAGCAGTACAAGATGGCCACCATCAGGCCCTGCAAACAAGAGGTGTGTTAGCAGGAAGAGAGCCAAAAGGAGGTACATGGGCAACTAGCCCCTGGGGCCCTTCTCAAATCAGGCAGCCCAGGCTGGCTTGGGAATAGGCATAAAAAATTTTTCTTAATTTTCCAAAATAAATTTATATATATATATATATATATATATGTGTGTGTGTGTGTGTCTGTGTGTGTCTGTGTGTGTGTGTGTCTGTGTGTGTGTCTGTGTGTGTGTATGTACATATGTGTATGTGTGTGTGTGTGCACGCTTTGTCTGCATGTATGTCTGTATACAACATGGCTCGTGCCCCCAGAGGCAAGAAGAGGGTGTCAGATCCTCTAAGACTGGAGTAACAGGTAGTTGTGAGCTACCACATGGCTGCTGGGAGCCAAACTCAGGTCCTTTGCCAGCATAGCTCTTAACAACTGAGCCATCTCTCCAGTCTCAAACAAGGTTGGTTTGTTTCTTTCTTTCTTTTGTTTTGTTTTATTTTTTTATTTCCTTTCAGGAAACAGGAGGCTAAGAAAGTTCCACCACTTCTTAAGGAGGCTAGACCAGATAAAACATGAAGAACTCGCCTACCCCAGCCAATTGCTGAACTTAGGTCCCAATGGCCCACAGCTAGGCAGATGGGCTCTGTGTGTGTGTTTGTGTGTGTGTGTGTGTGTGTGTGTGTGTGTGTGAGAGAGAGAGAGAGAGAGAGAGAGAGAGAGAGAGAGAGAGAGAGACATAATGTGTGTGCAGAAGCCCCTGGAGGCCAGAAAAGGATGTCTAATCCCTTGGAACTGGAGTAACAGGCAATTGTATAACACATGAATGCTAGGAACCAAACCGAGTCCTATGCAAGAACAGCAAGTGCTCTTAACTGCTGAGTCATCTCTAGCCACAGTTTCTTATAGTTTGCACCCATGCTGCACCTCTAATGCTAGTGAGGAGGACTGATAGCTTGCTTGAACCTGTGTGACCCTGTGTTGTGTGACTAGTTCTTCTGAGTTGAGATAGTTCTTCCTAGAAGGAAGGAAGAAACTCATAAGACCCAGGAAGCTCATAGAATTTGCAAGACTCAGAAAGTTCAGAGAGTTACAGACCCTTCCATGGGGTTACATGAGCAGTTTCTGGGGAAGAGGGTGTGGAGGTTTGAAAGAAAATGGCTCCCAAAGGGAGTGAGTGACACTATTAGGAGGTGTGACTTTGTGGAAGTAGGTATGGCCTTGGAGGAAGTGTGTCACTGTGGAGGTGGGCTTGAGGTCTCATATATGCTCAAGCCACACCCAGTGACTCAGACCACTTGCTGTTGGCTGTGAGTCAAGATGTAAGAACTCTCAGCTCCTTTCCTAGCAGCGGGTCTGCCTGCACACCGCCATGTCTCACCATGGTGATAAGGGACCTCTGAACTGTAAGCAAGCCACCACAATTAAAGGTTTTTCTTCCTAAGAGTTGCCATGGTCGTGGTGGCTCTTCACAGCAATAGAACCCTGACTAAAACAAGGAGACTCTCCTCCATGGAGCTGCCTGCAAACTGTGCAGGGAGCTCCAGGGACGCGCATCTTTGTAAGTCATCATTCATGCCGGGGTGGGCTTCTCAATGACACAGCTGCCTTCCGGCTGCCCATGGTCCTGTATCCACCCCAATAAGGTCATTGGTTCACCAACTGGACTCGAGTGGCATCATTTCCCTGGTCACCTGTCACGACTCAGCTGGAGTGAATAGACATCTGTCCGTGTCTTTCTAGGGAAGTCACACAACACCTTGGAAATCTTGTTTTAACATCTCCAGGCCTCAGTTTCCAGTTATGTCAAGTAGGGACAATCTCACAACTGTAGGTCCTGGGAGGGTTGAATGCATTGTGTGTATAAATTGCCTGGCAGGATGCTAGTGAATGGCAGCACCTCTCTCTAGATGCCCAGGTTCGTATCTTGGAAGGCTTCTTGTCCTACAGGCTTACAGAGAAGACTGGCCTCTATGTCTGAATACCTGGGGACACTCGCTCTGGCTCTGCTCCCACCGTGTGACTCGGGGCCGGATTGTTCTCCCAGATCTCATCTCCACGTTCATCTTCCCCACCCCCTCCCTCACTTTGAAGTGAAGTTCATCTTCACTCCATCCCACTGTGCCCGCCCCTCCCTCACTTTGGGACATCCCAGACAAGTTCCCTCAGCTGTGAGTCACCTGGAAGGAAGTGAAGGAGAGCTCCGTGAACAGTTTGATGAAGCGTAGGGTTCCTCGGGCATGTTCATCCATCACAAAGGCAAAGATGACCTCATGGGTCCCCAGGAGGGGGATGAGCGTCAGAGTGGACTTGGCAAGTCTGGAGACAGGGCAAGACCGCTTGTGTCATTCAGGCACACTGCACAGACTGCTCTTTCTCTTTGTGCCCACCCCCTCTGCTATCTGAGTCATGAACACTCTTCACTGAAAATGCCCTGGACAGGGTGCCTTGGTGTGTGTGTGGGGGGGGGGGCACGGTGCAGAGGTCAAGATTCCAGAAGCTCAGAAGCTGCTAAGAATAGAGAGAAAAGTTTAGGGATTGCACACCAGGCTTGGGTGGGAAAAGAGGGATACACAGGGCTCCAAACAGAGTGCCCCAGAGTTTCTCTCTGGTGGAAGAGAAGGCCTAGGGTACCCCTGCAGCCAACTTGATTAAGGTACCTGCATTTGATGTCAGTCTTGCACATGAGATTAGCCTTCAGTTTGGATACCACAATGCAGATGACCCGGATGAAGATGAGAAAGTTGACCTGCAGGGCATATCGACAGAAGGCTAGGACTATTCACCTTCCCCAAGTCATTAGCCTGGCCCCAGGCCAGGTCCACCAGCTTCCATTTCAGTGCCCAACTCTGTCACTCACCCCAATAGCAAAGAGAATGGGCAGTCGGATGATGAGCCAGTAGTTCATGTTGGAGTTTCTGGTCCAGCAGCTAGGGAGGGAGAGAGAGGCACACAAGGCATCCAGCTGGGCACTCAGAGGCCCCAGTGGCTAGTGCAGGACAAAGGTACAAGTGTACGAGGCCAAGGGAAGTGCTCCACCCACCCACAGATGCATGTGGAGTCCTGCAAGGGCATCACACACCCCATACAGAGTCACACACAGAGAGACCCATGCCTCTCCCCCATCTTTGCGGACTTCTGCAAGCAGTCACATGCACACCCGGCATCGTACACAAAACAACAGCTATTCACTCTGATGCTCATAAAAGCCATCAGGACGGTACCACACACTACAAAAGCCAGCAATATTGATCATTATACCATCCCAGGGTAGGTTCAGGGAGTAGAGATCAGAGACTGAATTCACAGGCTAAACTCCTGCTGATCCCACGGATCTTCCCAAACAAGTAGTAAGCTTGTGCTCCAGGGTTCAGGAATCCCATAGATTATAAGGACGAGACCCCAGCACACCACTGTCCCGCAGCAGGACACTCACCCCTCATCCTCATAGAGGTATTTGACCACGCCCCAGGGGATGACAAAGAGCAGAGGAACACCTAGAGGAGGAGGGAAGAAGAGACAAAGGGGAGAGAGGAGCTGGCAGGACAGAGCAGCTGCCACAGTGCCCAGGTCCTCTTCACACCCCAGACCCCTCACACCTCCAGCACCTCTACCTTCCCGGCCCTACAACCGTGCTTGTGAGAATGGAGGTGAAGGGTTTCACACGCATGCTCCATATTCTTCCTGACAGAGTTCTTCATAAGCCAGCCTCTCCTCTGTGCCAAGTGCCTTGCCGGGATTTGTCTCTAGAATCTTGGCTGTGAGACCCCAGGACAAGCACTCAAGTAGCAACAGATCAGTACAGTGGGGTGGGGAGGACATGAGGGATGAAGAGGGGACCAGAAAGTCTCTGATGCTCCGTCCTCCTTTTTATCCGCCCATATGCCCATCTCAGTTCACTCCTTCAGGTCCCAGAAGTCCCTTCAGGTGTTCGTTCCCTTCCCCATGCACCTGTTTGAGATCTAGAAGAGAGACAAGACCTGTCCCATTTACACAGAGGCCTATGCAATCAACAATTGCAGACATAAGACTTCCCAGTGAGTGCTAGGGTTTAGATAAGCATCAGTGTAACACTGGTAGGCGGTGGAGTCTTCAGAATACAGGGCCTGTGGGCAGTCCTTCCAAGAGGAGATTTTTTTCTTCCTGGCATGAAGGGGACTATTTACTCATCCATATGTACCCCAACACTGCAATGTGGCACCCCCACAAGAGGCCCAAAGAAATCTATCTGACTAATCTTTGACTTGAATCTAGAGAATGGTGATCTTATAAATAACCCTGTTCTCTTTATGATAACAACTATCACAGGTATTATATTATAGCAATGCAAAGTTAACTAATACAGCTCATAGATAGCCACTTAGATGGTTCCCAGTGATTATGACCTCTTGGTATTGATCTTCTTGTTGTTGTTGAGACAGGGTCTCAAGTAGTCCAAACTGGCCTCAAACTTGTTATTAGAAAGTCAAAGATGACCTTGAACTTCTGATCTTCCTCCACCCACTTCCTAAGTACTAGGATGAAAGACTTGTGGTTCGTGTTGCTCTCTCTCTTTCTCTCTCTCTTCTTTTCACTATCTCTGTCTCCATTTAGTTAGGGGAGGAGAAAGAAGGGTAGCTGTCATGCCAAAAGTGTTTACTGACATCCTACAGAGAGTTCCCTACACCCAGGAATGGAAGGCTCCTGGCCACGGCTCCATGAGTGAGTTTGGAGATGGATTCTCCAGTCAAGCCCTGGATGACAGCAACTCTGATTGACAGACAGATCCAACTAGACATTCTGAGTCAGTGACGCACAGCCACGTTGAACTCAAGACTTTTGAGTCCAGAAACTGTGAGATAGTAGTTTGTGTCTCTAAGCAGCAAAGTTCAGAGAACAATGTTAGATAGCAATGGAAAAGCAATCTGGCTGGTTTCTAAGGTCTACACAATGGACTCCCCGGAGTTCAGTCTGTGCTTGTTAACTGGCAGGTGGGCTGTCCGCCTTCTCAGGGCAGATGAGGAGATGGACAGGAGGAAAGGACACAGGTAGGTGCAGATTCTGGGGCTGTAAGCCTACCCCACTCCAGCCACCCTCAGGCTTCCTGAATCAATATTCTCATCACCTGCCTCCACCTATGCCTAGCTCAAGCTGGTCACGTGGATGCCTGAAGTCGGTCACAAGGTGCACATTGAAGTGTGTGGACACAGGTTTCATGTGTGTGGTGGAGGGTCTATGCACGTACATGTGTGGCTTGGGGTCATCTCTCCCAGGTGTACATTTCCAGGGCAGAACCACTTCATAACCTTTCCAAATGCCGTCATCGGTGTCCTTAACTCATTGATGTCCACACAGTCACAGCTACTGAGCAACTTGTGTGTCTGGATCACTGTACTGGCCCATGATTCAGAGAGTGGAGGGGAGGGGAGGGGAGCGGAGGAGAAAAAGGGAGGGGAGGGGACCTAACAATGGACCAGTTGGCCAGCAATCATCAGACCTCCCTGTTGGTCCATTTATTAATTTTACTATTACTATTGTTTAAAAAGTTTAATTACATTCAGTGTGTGTGTGTGTGTGTGTGTGTGTCTTTGTGTGTGTGTGGTATCCATCTCTATCTATGCCCAAGGGTGTGTGTATAAAAGCATACATACCCATGCATGTGAGGGCCAAAGGACAACCTCAGATGTCATTCCTAAGGATCTGTCTACTTTGTTTTCTGAGACAGGGTCTCTTGCTGGAACCTGGGGTTTACCAATTAGGTTAAATTGATTGGCTAGTAAGTCCTGGGCATGCACCTGTTTCTGTCTCTGCAGTGCTGGAGCTACAAATGTATGTCACAACTTTTTTATGTGGGTTCTGGGGAATCAAACTCCTGTCCTCATGATTATTCATGAGCACTTTGATCAAGTGAGCTATCCCCACCCTATTCATTTTTACACAAACTAGCCATTCCAACATCTATGATACTTTATAAACAGGCGTTCATTGGACTAAACAAATAATGGGATACCCTAGGAGGGCCTGGGGCATAGCATAGACCATGCCCCATAGAATATGCCCAGTAGGAATGGAATAGCTGTATCAATGAGAGAAGGGAAGCTCTCTAGACAAGACCATGCAATTTCTTAGGCCATACATGTACAGAAATTTCAGACTGAAAGTCCTCCATCAGTTATTGGTCTTTCTCTCTGAGACCTCACTCCAGAATGAGCTGGCTCATGTCACCAGCCAGCCCTAATGAGCTTCATCCATTCACTAACATCTGGTGAACAAGGGCCTTGTAAAGAAACAGGGGCACGGCTCTGCCAGCCAAGGTGACATATCCTCACAGGCTCTAGTGCTCTAAGACGAGCCAGGGGAGAAAGGTCAACCAGATGCACAGAACAGGTCCTGGGATACCATGCCTTCCCACCATCACTTCTCGCCCTTCTGAGGATGACCAATTACACATAGATGGCCGCACAAGTTGATAGACCTTTTAAGGACTTCCCCAATTCTACCAATCTTACTTTTAGTTCAGCTGAGCAGAAAGCAAGAAGTTTTCTGTCTATCCCAACTTGGGCTAGGCCTCCTGACATAGTCCTAGAGCACACAGGTCTCTGTGACTCTTCTTTTCTCTCTGATCCTGTATCTCCCCACCCCAGTTTCTCAATATAAGATGTTCTGATTGGCGATGATGTCCCTGAAGGTCCTGAACCCTGAGCTGGAGTAGGCAAGAAAGACCTAGCACCCTTCCCCCGTTCCGTTCTTTGAGACCTCCAGAGTACCATATGTCTCCACTGACCCCTACCAACTCCCTGCTTTTCTGAACACATCCCTTTGATTGGTCCTGCCCTTAGGTTGCTATGGTGACAGATACAAACAGCACTGATGTTATTTCCCAGAATGGACAGACGCGATCGTCTCCCACACAGAGGAAGCCCTTCCCTGAGTTCTCCTCAATGGCCTGTTCCTGCACCCACCCCTAGGGAGCATCAGGACACTCCAGATGCCCCACCTGATGGGTTTGCCTGACAGGATAAAGAGGTCTAGGAAGGAAGGAAGGAAGGATCGCGTAGGATGGACTGGGTCTCAGAGGAGGAGGAAAAGGGACTGTCGGGACCTCTGTATGCCTAAGCCAGGGCCACTTTTACCTAAGCCTGCTCAGCAGAACCAAAAGTGGCCTGGGGAGAAAAGCAGAGACCAAGACCTATGTTTGGCAAGTAGACAAGTCCCCGAGTCAGGAAGCCAGCTGCCTCTTGTGACCCAGTGTCTGCTCTGTTTCTAAGGGCCTGTTGCTGTCTGCGTCTTATGGACCTTAATACTTTGGTTCTACTAAGCCCCCATTAGAGCTCCTATCCCTGAGGTGGCTGAGGAGCACCCGAAGAAATAAGCAGGGTGCAAGGAGAGCGCAGAGGGGCTGAGAGGACCCGAGAGCAGGGCCCTAAGGGGCTGGAAACCTGACACAGCTTCCTGGAGGGTGTAGGGTGACAACCTACATGCGAAGAGGATGCTCTCAGCACCAAGCAACATTTTGGAAGGGCTGCTGCAGGACCAGGATGGGAGAGAACAGTTTGCCTTGACTGAGCTGAGAAGTGTCTGGAAGGCAAGGCTGGGAGAGGTCAGAATAGCTCTAGGGACTACAGGTTTGGCATGAGGAAGAAAGCTCTGGAACTTCAGGAGGCGATCAAGGAGGGCTGACCACAGGCCTGTCCTCTGTTATGCCCCAGCTAGGGGTACTTGCTGCTCCCTCTATGCGAGGTGTCCCCACCTGTCTCCCTGACACTGCAGGGCTCCAACCCACCCACCCCACCCCACCCATCCTCCCCTCAACTGCAATCCTTCCTACCCTCCATGTGGCTCCCATGTGGCGAGAGGTAGAAGCACAACCGGAAATGTTCCAGCAAAAAAAAAGGGCACAATGGTTCTCAGTAGACTTTTTTTGGCTAGAACATTTCCAGCCGGGCTCCAGGCACATTCGCAGTCTACCGCTTTCCTCTGCTGCTCACCACTCCCGACTTCCCATTGTCGTGGCAATGGCATCCTATGTCAGCCCATACCCTGCTCATCCCCCGCCCACCGCGAGGCCCAGGATGCGGCATCTCCCACAGGACCTCAAGCTGCCCTGCACTGGGTATGAAACGCTCTGGGGACAATGTCCTGACTTCTGATGGTGTGGTGGCAGGATTAAGGGTCAGGTAAGGCAATATTTGGCCATATGAGAGTGGAAGCATCTATTAAGAAAGGAGATTTATTTTTTTTAAGGGAGGGTTCCACCCCTTGCTGCGGGTACCCATGGAGGTGGGGAGGTGAACAACAGTAGGCCTTACCCCAGCCTATGCTCAGGTACAGCTTGAAGACACACTGCTCCGAGAACACGGAGAAGGCCAGCAGCGTGTAGAGGTACACGCCCTCCACCAGCAGCCAGTAGTAATTGGCCGCCACGCAGTACTGCATGAGGAGGAACACCAGCCGGCAGCTCAGAGAGTCCTAAGGACAGAGAAGGGTCCCATGGGGACAGCAGCCCTGCTTCCCGCCCCACCTGCCGCTCCTCACCGTCCTGTCCTAGCATGGTTAACATGGAATAGAAGGGTTTTCATATGGCCAGGGCCTCTACGGAGGAGACTCTCTGCTTTAGGTCCTCAACCCCCGCCCCATCCTAAGAAGAAAGCACCTGCTACTGCCCCCATGCTGGGAGGAGAACTGAGTCCTGGAGAAGCTATGGATCTGAATTTAAATACAATTGTGGTAGGGCTGGGATGCAAACTGGGGCCTGCATTCAGAGAAACCTGTGTCCAAATGAATTCCCTAGGGCAGAATCTCTTACCTTGGATTCACTTGTCCCAGGAGGACTGCATCTTCCATCAGACTAGGTTTCCCCAAGGTGGACTGCCTCCTCTACCAGACTAGGATTTTCTCAAGGTAGACTGCCTCCTCCATCAGACTAGAGGCTCCCCTTAGTGGACTGCCTCCTCTACCAGACTAGGATTTTCTCAAGGTGGACTTTCTCTTCCATCAGACTAGGGGCTCTGTGTGTTGGGCTGTCTTTCTCATCAAACTAGGCAGCTCCAGGTAGACTGCCTTCTCCCATCAGACTAGGGGCTCCCTATGGTATATTACCTCTCCCATCAGACTAGGAGTTTCCCAAGGTAGAGTGCCTCTCCCATCATCCAGGGACTCCCTGAGGGCTACTTCTGTTCTCACCATCCCAGGCTTCTGCAGTGAACCCCTTTGCCAGTGTCCTCCCCAGGCTCCCCGGTCACACTACAGACCTGGTAGGAGAGGAGCCCATCCCACTGGTGCTGCTGGGCAGCCGTGCTGTACATCCACTTGAGGACGGCATCCTTGATGAAGACAGACAGTGCTCGGAGGATGAAGGATGCGAACAGGTTCAGGTGAATGTAGTTCCGGGTGCAGTGCAAGTGTCTGAGGGAGAAAGCAGGGCCCCTCCCTGGCAAGATGGACAGCACTGGCTCCCAGGCCAGCCCACACACACACGTCAGGCGCATGTGCCTCTCTGGGACTATGGTGACGGCTTCCTCCCTCTGAGAATGCCTTTTTTCCTCACAACCTTGAAAGTCCCGGAAGAGCTGCCTAAGAGGCCCTCAACCAAGCAATCACTACCTGTTTCTTACCCATACTCTGTCCTTGCGGCAGTACCTTCTCTTAGGCAGTTACTTGTAACCAAAACACTACGTACATTGTAACCAAAGCAATGTCTGTGTCAGATCAGTTCAGGACCTGACACTTCTGGACTGTTCTCTGGGGCAGAGTGTGTCTAGGCACACGGTAGAAATGTAAAAGGAATTGGGTGCCATGTCAGTACACTCCCAGGTGAAAATGTGTAGCGGGGCAGGACTGCGGAGGTGGCTCAGTGGGTCAGAGTGTTCGCTGCGCAAGCATGAGGTCCTCAGTTCAGACCCCAGCGCTCATGTGGAAAATCAAGTGTGCACCCCTGTAACCTCAGTGCTGGGGTGGGGGTGGGGCATAGAGACCAGAAGAGGGCTGGGGTTTGCTGGCTTCCGAGCCAGCCCAGCTCCAGGCTCAGTGAGAGACTCTGTTCTCAAGAGGAGAAGGTGACAGTGACTGAGAGGGACGGCCAATGGTTTTCCCTGGCTTCCACATGCTTGGTATGTAAGCCATGCGGAGAGCATGTACACGTGAACATGTGAGCACACACTCATGCACGCGCACACACACACACACACACACACACACACGTGTGACAAACTGGAAGTCTGAGGGCACTTCATCTGCTAAAAGGCTATCTCCCAAGCAAAAGCTAATATCATTCCTCACAGAGGATCCTGACAACTATTTCCTCTACAACCGGCAGTCCCGCGAGGATGTCGCTATTGTAGCCTCTAATAATGACTGCCCTAGAGATCTCACCGCTACAACAGGGCCACGGAAGAGGTGAACCAGAACTGGTTATGGCTTATATACGAGCATTTTCGGAGGAACCCCACAACAGTGTACGGATGAACCATAGCAACTGAAGAGTCTGGCAAGATTGCTGACGGCTTCCCTGACACATTCTAGCAATATGCAATAAAAAGAAATTGAAGATCCATTCGGAAGATTCTATTTGGTTTCCTGAAAATATCTCTAACAAGAGGATGGGTAAGATCATTATGGGCGACTTAATAAAATTGGCTTAAAATTATTAGAGAAGTCTTAAATTAGTGGGAAATACATAGTCGCACCATACTTAGGAACAGAAATGCCACTGAAACGGTCCCATGTAAAATAATGAATTCAGAGTGGCTGTAATAAAATGCCAACTTTTTTTCATGGTACTTAGAAAATTTACAAAGAATAGCCAAAAGTCAAGAGAAGTGTAGATAGTCACAAAGAACCATCAAGTGGCCTTTCCAGTAATCCCAGCACAGGGTAGGCTGAAGCAGGGGGACCAGGAGTTTGAGGCAAGTCTAGCAAGACCTGGTTTCAACAAAACAGCCCCCAGCTGGGAGTGATTTGCATGCCTACAGTCCTAGCACTTGGAAGAGGAAGGCAAGGGAATTTGAGTTCAAAGTCAGCGTGGATTACATGAGATCGTGTCTTGAAACACAAAAGCTATTACAACATAGGAGTCTTTGCTGTAAGAGAGCTAGGTGTTCTCTATGTACCTGTACGATGCATGCACATATGTGTGCATGAACATGTGTATGAGTGTGAGTACACGGGTAGGGGTTGGCGACTACCCAACATCCTCCACTGCTAACCCTCACCCTCTACCTTGTTTGAGGCTGGGTCTCTCCTTCGCTGTTCCTCACACCAGGCTGGCCAGCCCAGGAACTTCCCGGTATACTCCTGTCTCTGCCTTCTGCACCACTGCAGGAGCGCCAGGCCACAAACACGCGCCACCAGTGGGTTCTGGGGATGCAAACTCAGCTTCCCACACCTGGGTGTCAAATGTTTAACTCCTTGAGCCATCTCCGCAGCTGAGAGACAGGATTTCTTTTCATTTCTCCTTTATTTTATGTATGTATGGTATATATGCATGTGTGGGCCACACATACACAAGAACACTTGTGTGGTGGCCACAGATCTGGGAACGAATTTGGAGAGGTCAGTTCTTTCCCTGTGCTGTGGATTCCGGGGATCAAACTCAGGCCAGCAGGCTTGGCCTTTACTTACCGGCCTGAGACCTTACATTTCTAACAAATCCTTAGGAGACAAGGTGCTGTGGTTTGGGAGCAGGGTAAATAAACAGACTGAGAAAAAGATGTTAACAACGGAAATCAACTTACAACTCCAGGGACCCTCGTGGCAAACCAAGACTATCGGCAAAGGCACACAGCAGTGGCCACCTATATATGGAGGGAGGGGGTAAAATCCCTGATTCCCACCAGACACAAACTGAATTCTGGGGGACTGCAGAGCCACAAAGGCAGAAGAAGGCTTGGCAGCTTCATGAAGGGAATGGAGCTGAGAGGCTTTGCAATCGTCAGATAAGAAAAGATCGTTGGAAGGAGAGCAAAACGAAATCTAGTCTTCAGGAAAAAATTAATAAATGCCTATCGACCGATAAAAGTAACTTTCATTAATCAATAGTTCCTATTGATACATTTTACTTCGCAATAAAAATTGATAGTTGGCCAATTTCATCTCATCTCAGTGCCGAGCTCCTGTGTATAAAAGGCACCAGAGAATGAGAAACACTGGCATAGGTTAAGATGTCTCGGGTTAATATCCACATAATAAATGCCTAAAACAAGCCAAATAAACTAATAATAATAACAATAAAAGGCAATGAACAAGCAATTCATAGACTAAAGTATGAAAGAAACAACCTCTCTAGGGGGTCAAAGAAAAGCAAATTAAAACCATAACACATTCTTCTACATGCTTTATAGATTAACTTCACTTAATTCTAAAAACACTAAATGTGGGTCGGGTACAGAGCCAAAGGAACCTTCCCCACCAGTGGCCAGAGCACAGACTGGCAGTAGCCACCTGGCAGGTCACCTAACACTAGCTAACAAAATGCTAAAAACCAGGCAGTTGGTTAATGGTGACAATTTCACCTCTGGGGATATGCCCTAAGGAAACACACAGGCAAGACCACCAGAAGAAACCCATTGCTGTAAGGCTTGTAACTTGGAAAGAAAAATCAACAAACACTTCAAATAGCCACAGACCGTGTGATGACAACGGAAAACAGGGACAACTCAAACAAAGGAACTAAGACTATCTGTATCAGAAGGAATCTCACGAAAACACAACGTTGGGTTCCCATCCCTTGGATCTGTAGCAGGATATGGTCACTATGCTGTTTAAAACATCAGTGAACCACGCTGTGCGTTGTTACAGACCCTTAGCAAGGGAGTGCAAGGTAATGAGAGAGTGGGAATCAAGTCCTTACGAGCAAGGATTAGTTCTTCAGGGGTGGGCACAGGGACCTGATAAATGGGCTTTGCTTTGTTTTATAGCTCAGGCTAGCCTGGAACTCGTTATGTAACCCAGACTGACCCTGAGCTTGTGACAATCCTCCTGCCCTGATCTAAGTGCTGGGATTACAGGGGTTTACCACCGCATCCAACTTGTAACACTTTGTTTTTATTTTCCCCTTTTGTGTGTGTGTGTGTTGGTGTACACATGTTTTCCTATGATTCTGTGTGCACATGTGTACACATAGGGAGGCTTGAAGATGATGCTGCGACTCTTACACCATTGCTCTTTCAACTTTTTCATCCAGACAGGGGCTCTCAATTAAACCCAGAGCTCACCGATGTGGCTAGCCTGGCTAACAAGCCTCCTCTGGCGATTCTCTCTTTGCCTTCCAAGGCTGGAATTACAGGTGAAACACCATGCCCACCTGACATTTATGTGTCTGTCTCAGGATCTGAACTCTGGTCCTCACATTGATGTGGCAAGTGTTTTAACTGCAGAGTCATCTCCCCAGCTCACCATGCCTTAGCTCTAAGCATTGATTCCTATATGTATTTTCACTATACTGTTGACTCTCTGAAATGGTTCACAATGAGAGAATATTTGACATGATTTGACTACGAAATATGACTGGGATGTGAAGACTTGGGTGTTGGGCTATTTCAGGAGTGCTGAACACTGTAGGGGGTGGAGCCTAACTGGAGGAAGTAAGCTACTGTGTGGTGGGGTACCTTTGAAAAACGTATTTAATCTTCAGCCCCTTCCCCTCTCTGCCTCCTGTCCATCACGAGATGACCAGCTCCCTTTGGCACACAGTCTCATAGCCATGATTTTCTATCCAATCCCATAGGAGTCAAGAAACCAAAAAAAAAAAATCAGCCAGAACAAATCTTTCCACTCTGAAACTGTCCTCACGTGTGTCTTTCGGGCACATAAAAGTAGCTAACTCAATACTCATCCAATGATTGCATCTACAGAATACTAATGGTGTCAACTATTGTGCCAGCTGCTTTAGAGACAAGAGGAGGAAAACCACACCCATTTCTATTAAATATTTATGTTTATTGTTGTTTCAAATGTGTATGTTGGGAGGGTGTGAGCACACGCGTGTAGGTCCCACAGAGTTCAGAAGAAGGCATCGGATCCCCTAGAGCTGGAGTTACAGGTAGTTGTGAGCTGCCCATGTTTGTGTACATGCTCCTAACTGCAGAGCAATCTCTCTCGTCCAACAACTCTTATTCTTGATGATCAATATCTCGAGGATTCTTCCCTCATAATTTTTCTGAGCCTAAACTCAATTCCCCTCAGTTATCCCAGAGAGATTAAGGAAGGTGCTTCCCAGCCCTTTCTCAGGGGGTCAAGGCCCAAAATAGAACTTTCCAGTGGCATTAATAAGCTCCAAGACAGTAGAACCTCTAACCACTGAGACTTTGCTAAAATCATGCTGAATTATGGATCATTATCTGCTTGATGGATGTGACTTCTTGGAATTCCCCATCATCTTATCATCCACTGCTACAATGTGTGTGTGTGTGTGTGTGTGTGTGTGTGTGTGTGTGTGCATTTTTTGGCGTGCGCATGCACAGTTACACAGTGGAGACTAGACTGAACACACAGTGTTTCAACCTGTCTTTTCAACCTCATATTTTCCAGGATGTCCTAGAAAGCAGAACCCCTCCCCCTTCCCCCCCCTCCCCGCCAGGCTTGAGCTCTCCTTACCTGAAGCCAACAAGGATGGCTGAGGCAATGACCAAGGCGGAGAAGGAAAGTGCGTATCCCACAGTGTAGATAATGTACAGCGACAGTAGCTGTTCCTCGGGGGAGTTCTGCGTACACAGAAGGACACAAAGATGTGTGCATGCCCTGTGAGCCTCCTTCTCCCACAACCTTCATTCTGGGGTCCAGGGACTGGGGTGACCTGGAGCCCGACTTGAGATTCCACAATCAAGAAAGAGAATGACCTGCGGAAGTGGTCCAGAGATGTTTACAACCTGGCTCCAAGGTGAGCACACATCACCTTTGGCCAGACAGCAGATGTGCAGAGTCACCCGGAGCAGGGGGACAGATGTGACAATGGCCAGCCCCGCCCAAAGCCTAGAGTCGCTGCTCCCATGGAGCAGACACCCAGCTGCCCCTTCCCAGGCTCAGAACCCATCAGCTCACTCTCTCCCCTCGCTTGGACTCTTCACACTCCGACAGGTCCCTCCAGGGCAGGCTGGAGTTGTCCTTGTGTAGCCAGAGACCCTCAGCTGTGCAGAACCGGTACACATGGCCCTGAAGCACTAGAGGAAGGAGACATGGCAGCTGAGGCTCAGCCTAGAAATGAACAGTCCACCCACTGTTGGCGTTATCCTTACCTCTCGGGGGGACCCTGCTCCATCAGAGCTGACCCTTAGTTAGGAACAGGCACACCTCTGCGTTCATACACACACATGTACACACACACACACACACACACACACACACACACATGCAGACGCACGCATACAAGCATATGCATGCAGGCATGTGCACACACATGCACCATGATGGTCCAGGTACATGATAAGAGATCGCACAGCAAGGATCACCCAGACACCCTCAGCTGTGCCCCTTAGCCCCCCAGGGACACAATTGAGTGAATCCATAGCTTTCAGACAAGATAAATCTAGTTTGAACCTACGTCTTATCCCCCAGCCTCAAATCACAGTATTGACAAGGTCTGATGCCAAGCAGAAAAGACTCTGCCGATCACAATCACCCTCTATGATTTCTGATATTCCAGACTCAGTCCTTCACCCTCCTGCATTCTTTGTGGGGAACAGTCAGTTCTAAGAATTAAAGCAACCTCTACCCTATGGAGCCCCAATCTGAGGAGACATGGCCTGCCATCAGGGAGCTCCAGTCTGAGGAGACGTGGTCTGCCACTAGGGAGCCCATCTGAGGAGATTCAGACTTCCTCTCAAAGGCCTCTAAAAGGAGCATAAAGTCTCATGGTGCCATCGTAACCGTTGCTCTTGGAAATTTTCCCTTCAGACTGGGAGACAGGCTTGCTCCTTCACATAACCCCTAGTCCTGTGTCCAAGAAGGAAGCTGCTCTTTGAGCCCCTGCTTCTGTGAGAGAGGGCAACTGACAACCCAGGCCCTGCCCTCGTGCAGCTCCCAGAGGAGAACGGTGAAAAGGAAATCAAGAGGGAAGCAACACAGGCTCCACAGAGCTGGGAGTGGGTTGTCACCTGTGGTCTTCACAGCCACTTAATTATCGGGGTGCTGGGGCAGTCCCCATCATACCCCTACTACGGACCTGTGGACTCGTCTAGGGAGATGAGGGAGAGGAGTGGATTTTGGCCCAAGACTCCATGTAAGAGCAGCACAGAGGTCTATTTATCTAGGAAATGCCTAACTCATTGCCTTCCTGCAGGAGAACCTAAATCTTTCACCAGGGCCAAGGAACAGGGTGGGGGTAGGGATGGGGACGAAGAGGTTGCAGGAGGTGGGGTTAGCGCAGGAGAGTGAGGAAGGCAGCAGAAGTCAGGGATTGACTGCAGATGATTTAGATTCTGTAAGACTAACTTGAATCAGCTGGTGGAGATGCCTGCTACCAAGCCTGCTGTCTTGAGTTCAGTTCCCGGGCCTCAAATGCTAAAAGGAAAGAACCAGCTCCCACAAGCTGTCCTCTGACCTCTACATGAAAGCCGTACTCCCCTAACTGAGTAAATAAATGGAATACAACAGTTTAAAGACCAAAAGATTTGAAGGACCGGCTATGGACTATGGGTGGCAGGCAGTGTGAAAAGGAGCAGGGGCCGGGGATGGGGTGGGGTGGATACAGAAGTCACCAAGAGCCCTCAGTGACCATAGCTGGTCAGGGTTGAAGTGGAAAGATTGTCACTGGGAAGAGGCTGATCAATATATGTAAATAGCAGAGTGACAGCTGCACCCTGTGGGACGCGGGTCCCCAAGGGACACCCACCCCAGGGGCAGCCTCGGCACAGAAACCCAATCTCCCGGACCATTGTTATGTGCAGGGAGCCTTCCTGTTGGTCCTGTGACAGTCTCTTGCATTGCGGTCATGCACCTGCCAATCAGGCCTTATTCTTAACACCAGCTCTGCCACTCAGCACCCAGTGTGGGCGGTCCTCACACCCTTGTCCTTCTTCCTCTCCTCCCTTCATGACTATCCTGAGGCGGATATCTCTCCAGGAGAGACAGTCTCCGAGCAAATCAGCTTTGTAGTGTGAGTGCTGTGAGAGGAGAATGCACAAATGCATGCGTGTGCAGGAATGTGTGTGTGTGTGTGTGTGTGTGTGTGTGTGTGTACGTGCACATGTGTGCATGCAGGCCAGAAGTTGATGATGGAGGCCAGGTGTCTCCCCCACAACCACCTGACTTTTTGGACAGAGTCTTCCGTTGAACCTGGAGCTCACTGATCGGTTAGACTAACTAGCCAGCCAGCCCCTCCCCTGTGCAGACACACCCCAGCTCACCCTGCATTTTACATGGCGCTGGGGATCTAAATTCGGGTCATCTTGCTTGCACACAAAGCACTTGACCAGCTAAATCATCTCCTCAGTCAAAAACTTGCATTTTCAGTGACGTGAACAGAACCCCGAGAATCTGATGGCGGCTTGGCCACTGGTGGCGGCTGGGCCACTGGTGGTGGCTGGGCCACTGATGGTGGCTCGGCCACTGGTGGCGGCTGGGCCACTGGTGGCGGCTGGGCCACTGGTGGCGGCTCGGCCACTGGTGGCGGCTCGGCCACTGGTGGCGGCTGGGCCACTGATGGTGGCTCGGCCACTGATGGCGGCTCAGCCACTGATGGCAGTTCGGCTAGTGGCTAGTAGTGCATTGAGCCCCAGAAGCATCTCTAGGGACTTAACAAATGGCTGGGTACATATAAAGGTAGGGCAGGTACATGGTCTCATTTAGCATCTTGAAGGGCCACACTCAGGTTACCAAATGGTTTTCTTATGTGCTGCATGGATGCTTAAAATTCCTTAATGGGAGTCCAATCTTCTGGTAGATAATAAAACCTGTCTTTGGCTGTAGATAGAACCCAAGAAGGGTGACCTGGTCCTAACTTTGTGGGAATGACATTGGTATCAGAGCCTGCTCTGCGGTCTGAACAGGAGGAAGTGGGGAGTGGAATAGGGAGAAGGAACCTTGGGAGCTAGAAGAAGGCAGAAAACACAGCACTGGATTCTTCTTACGGCAGGCACAAACCCCAACATACAGTAAACACTGTACCCTATATACACTGTGTACACAGTAGGAACTGTATCCTACATGCATTGTGCACACAGTAGGTACTGTACCCTGTATGCACCGTGCACACAGGAGGCACTGTACCCTACACGCACCATGCACACAGTAGGAACTGCACCCTTCATGCACTGTGCACACAGTAGGCACAGAGCCCTACACATACTGTGCACACAGTAGGCACTGTACAATTGTAGGCTTCCTCCCTATATGCACTGCATATGTTGTCTCCGAAGGCTGTATTTACTCACAGAATCAAGTCTTGAATATCTACTGTATGCCTGCACCTTAGAACATCACAGGCACCTCACCAGGTAACCATTTCGCAGATGAAAGCACCAAGCCTCTGAGTAGCCAAGAGGTCTGCTCAAGCCCAGACAAAAAGGAAGACACACAGGTAGGGTTCAAACTCCCAGCTCTTTGCCTCTGGGAGCCAAAACTTAGCAGCCAGAGTTGTGCCAAGAGTCAATCATGACCAGGTGCCATTTTCCCCAGTCTTTCCCATGGGTTTAAATTTTCACACATGCCACTGTGGCCCCCAGATAGACTGCATGGCTCTGGGCTCTCTGCTCAGGGCCAGCCTGGTGGCAGGAAGGTAGTGTGTGCACCGATGTGTGCCTTCTTGGCTTAGCGTCAAGAGATCACTGTGTCCCAGAGAAGCGCGGTCTACAAATTCATCTGTCAGTTAGCCCTCATTAACATCAAATATTAAAAGCTGCGGCTGGATACTGGTTGAGCCCATGGTCCCCAAATGCCCTTCTTGGCTGGAGGTGGGTGGTCTGGGCAAAGCCCTGCTTATCAGTCCAGCTTTATCTGGCCTGTGAGGAGCTGGCCAATCACAGCCACGGGCTTGGCTTGATCTAGTCAATACAAGGAGACAACCAGGCGGCCACATGCCAGGAGGCCCAGGCATATTTCATTAAGTCAGCCCCTGGTGCTGGAAATAAAACCCCCAATTAAACACTTCGCCTCCCGGAAGCTGCCACGGCGTCTGTAATCAAGCTAACAGCCACCCTTCCACATGGACGGCGGGCACTCAAGTGGTGGAGAGCTGCTCATGAATCTATTAGCTCCTGCACCCTGGCAACAGAGGTGGCTGGCAAGGGCTGGGGGCCCCCCATTTTGCAGATGGAGATGCTGAGGGTCAGCGAGTCTGGCAACCCTCCCAAATGTGACAGGATAGGGGCAGGGTCAAAGGCAGGGGCCAGCTCTGGGTGGGGGTAAAGAGAAACTTGGAGCATCGGGGCTTAACAAGAGGCCAGGTTCAGAAGTCCAGACCCAATTGCAATACCTGGTTCCACTCTTTTTTTATCAGCTATGGCACTTTAGGAGAATTACATCACTTCCCTGGCTCTCTGCTTCCTCATCTGTAAAATGGGAACCATTCCTAGGAAAATATGCAGAACTGCCTGGTGCACGGTCGTCCTTCGGCACAAAGTCACAGCAGAGGCTTTGCTGCCTCCCCCAGCATTGCAAGGCCAGAGCTCCTGTGAGACCCAACTTGGGCCTCAGTCTCCCCTTGGCAACCCTGGCTTGCTCTCAAAACTCCCAGGCTCAGCATTACTCAGGGGAAGCGACCTGTCAAGAGTTTCTAAGAATTGTGAGTGATAGCCTATTTTAAAAGCATTTTATGGCCCTCATATAATTAGAACTAAGCTAACAAACAGGTAGGAACCTGGAGAGGGGTGCCTAATGAGGTTGGGATGATGTGGAAGGCGTGGGTCCCTGCAGGAGTGAATGGGGCTGCCCAAAAGCCCTGACACAGCCAAGAGGCTGGAAGGCCTCGCCGACCTTCCAAGACTCACCCTTCCTGTCCTGTGTGAACCAGACTCTTCCTCCCACCCTTCCTCTCGCTACCCCTCTACCCCTGTCCTTTCTACACCCTCTGGAACCCTGAGACCACAATGACAAGGGTCAGACTGCACGGGGTTGAAGGGACCCTGTGCACCTCTGAGGCCTGGGATCTTGACCCGTGTCCCAGGTGCCACCTGAGGATCAGCCCTCCTCCTTCTGCCTATGCCTGTTCTCCCAGCCTGGTTCCAATGTCATCTTTCCTGATGTCACAGGCCAGGAAAAAGACATCTCTGATTTCCCCTACCTGCCTCTGCTTGGGCTGTAAAGCTGACCCCTCCAACTCCATGCAATCCTCCTGCGGATGTCACACAAGTGTGCCTTAGCTCACGACAAGGACTTAGCTCAGTTTTGGCCGTTGGTTTGAATTCTTCATGAGGCCACCCACTTCTCTGCCTTGCTCTGAACCCCAGAAGGCTGACTCCCTCCATGTTGTACTACACAATTCCTGCCCTCCCTTCTGGATTTGGTCAACAGGAGACAACAGCAGAAAACATCAGGAGGAGAGAGAAAGAATCTGGGCATGGCTCTCTCACCCTGCCCTGGTGGCATCTGGGGCTCCGGCCATAGCTTCACACCTCTGAGGGAACCCTGCTGGTGGTCTCTACCCTAACTCCAGTCATCATGGGGACCTCTGACCCCAAGCCTACTCCTTTCTCATTGGGCCTTTGGGGGTGCTCAGCTCTGTCTATTCCAGCGCTTTCGCATTTCCCCACTGGGCACGATTTCTAGAGTGCCCGCTAGAGACAACGCCTGCCTGTCATCTCCCTGTCCCCAGTTCACGCTGTGAGGTATCGCCACCAGCTGCTCCCTGAGACGGGCTAAGAAGGCTCCAGAGGTACCCCCTTCCTCATTCCCAACAGTCCCGGGTGGGGTGAGGGAGCCCCTCCAGTATGGTGGTTGTACTGTGTGAGTCCAGTGGGTGTCTCTGTGGGTCCCCAGCTCAGGAGAGGGGAGGCAGAGCTGGTGATCTGGGTGTCCAAAGAAAAAAAGAGGGGATGAGAGTAAATTAGCCTGGCGAGAAGGGAGGGAAGGTGGCTGGCAGGGGGCCTGTGCAGAGGCCGTTATCTTCATGGAGAAAGCAATAAAACCGTGTTCACTCATAAACGGGCACCACCAGGACCTATTTCCTGCTCAAATAAAATTAAAGGTGATGGATGGAGCCGCAAGCACAGGCAGAGCTGGGGGCGCTTAGTGCTGAGTGATGGGCTCTGTCCCACGCCTGGCTCCCCAGGGTCTAGGGGCTCAGCCAGGATGCCCAAGCAGAGGTTCCAAATCTTTGAGGCAGTGAATGTGTGTGCCATGCAGGAAGTTGCCAGGGGACCAAGGGCAGGTGGAAAAAATGAATGGACTTGTTTTCCCCTCAAGGATCTCCAGTCCTCTCCCATCCACATCACTTGGCTCCATCCCAGCTTCCAAATGAGCAAACAGACCAGAGCACAGAGAGGTCTAGGAATTGCTCCTGACCACACAGCTCCCGGGGTGGTCAACAAGCAGAGCCACAGGGCTTGCATATCTCAGAGGGAAAGGGAAGGATGGTTTTGCCCTTACTAATGTGTATCCAGCGGACAGAGGTCTTTCAGGCCACTCACCTGTCTCCAGGCCCAGGGCCGCGTGCACGTGCAGCCACTGCCCAGCTCCCCAGGAAGCCTGGCTCAACAATTAAACAATGAAATGCAGAGACTAACCCAACCTCCTGGACTGATGCCCGGGTCTGCTAAGCCAAGCTAGCTGTGAGTCTTGGAAAAGCCATGCCATATCTCTGAGCTTCAGCTTCCTCGTCAATGGGAGGGAGAATGGGATTCACTGCCTCCGAGAGTTATGGGCAGGATTGAATGAGTGTTTTGCCTGTCAACAGGCAATGTGTGTGGAGGAATTCTGAGTGAAGGGTGGCTGATCCACTTGGAGCCTGCCTTTTGCAGATCCTGGTTTGTCTAGAGTAGCCCCAGGAGAGATGGGTGGAGTCTCTCTAGAAGACCAGTCTGAGTCCCATCAGACTGTACTTCACGCTAAGGAGAAGTTCGTGTCTGTCCTGCCAGGCCACCTCCTCCAAGAAGACCCCTTTTCATAAGCCTGACCTCATTCCTATGCCTGCTCTCAGGCTGGTTTCTGCTGAGGACAACGACCGAGAAAAGGGCTAGGTTCTCAGGACTCCAGCAGTCACCACCTCATTTGGGACAAGAGACTTAAACCTCTCAGGACCCCAATTTCCTCATCTAGGCAAGCACACCCCTCAGGCAGCGGTTAACCTAGGACTGCAGGGTTAGATATTTGCTAAGTACCGGCCATCATTACCTTATGAGATCTCTTTTTGCTGGGCTGGGCAAATGGTTCAGTCTGTAAAGTACTTGCCATGTGACGTAAGGACCTCAGCTGAGTCCCACAGCATCCATGGAAGAAGTAGGGCGTGCTAGCACGTGCCCGTGATCTCAGTGCTGGGGACACTGAGACTGGCAGATTCCCCAGGATACGTTAACAAGGAGGACAGTCTGCGAGGGCAACCCAAAGTTGACCTCCAGTCTCTACATGGAGGACCGTACTCGTGGACCCCATGCCTGTGAATAAACATGCACCTCCACACAGATGAACACACACACACACACACGTGTCTGGGATTTCTTGCAGCAATAACACTTGTCCCCACTATGTCCCACAGACCCTTAGCACGGGAACTGGGATGGAGCAATAGGCGTGTAAATTAGCATTGCAGTCAAGGGCACCATGGCCCTCTGGACGTCTCTATGAGAAGAGAATCCCACCAGGTCATACTTTTCCCAGTGTAGTCTCCCCTGGAGGCAGCAGTGGGCTGGACAAGGTCTGAGGGGCCAGCCCACCATGTCCTTGAGCACTGCTGCCCATGAGCCTTTAAAAGAATCAGGAAGAGCTGAGGTGTCAACTCTAGGACACACACACACACACACACACACACACACACGCACGCACGCACGCACACACACCAGGCAAAGACACTCCTTGGGTATCTTCTTCCTTCTTCCTATCCCCCACAATCCGTTCCACCCTTTGTTGACCGCTAGGTCAGAAGGGTCTCATTTCTGCCTTAGGCTGTATCCCACCCCTGCCTGCACAAGCATCAGACGTAGGACACCAGGCAGTTCCGACACCTGCCACTGTTGGCTATCCAACCACCATCAAAGGGTGCTCCACCCGCCATGGGGCCTGAGGACACTCTGGGCTGCAGGAACTGGGTCCCAGAAGAAGGGAGACCATGTCTCATCCTGCCCAGAGCCCTGGGGACAGGGAAGGGGACACTCACCACTGCTGGCCCAGGGCAGGTACCAGGGGCAGCTGACATTCACGAAGGACCCTGGGGGCCCGTCTGGCCAGCAGGCATAATCATCAAAGGTTCTGTTGCAGAAGAGGCCTGTAGAGGCGGCAGAGCAGTCCTTGAGTCCCAGGCTGTCACCTATTCTTCCTTCCTATCTTCTCTCCAACCATGAAAAGCTGCACTCCCCCAACTTGCGCTAAGCAATCACTGGACGAGGAGCACTCTCCCCACAGGGCTCACTGGATAAGGAGCACTCTCCCCACAGGGCTCACTGGATAAGGAGCACTCTCCCCACAGGGATCACTGGATGAGGAGCACTCTCCCCACAGGGATCACTGGATGAGGAGCACTCTCCCCACAGGGATCACTGATGCTGAGCACTCTCCCCACAGGGATCACTGATGCTGAGCACTCTCCCCACAGGGATCACTGGATGCTGAGCACTCTCCCCACAGGGCTCATTGGATGCTGACTGAGTACCCTCTCCACGGGGCAGGTATCAAGGAAGGACCCTGTTACTCGACAGGGGCAGGACCTTAATCAAGTTCCTTAACAGCTCTATGTCCTTTGTGGAATGCAGGCATCCCCTGGTCCACAGAGCTTTGTCACAATGTGCTATGTAGAAGAAGGACTACAGTAAGGGCTCAACAGACATCTATCAGCCATTTGTGAGCTGTTCTTCACAGATGGGAGGGAAACCTTCCCCACGTTGCTGTGATGATCAGGATTTGAATCCAAGACCAGCTGGCTCCAACGATCTTAAAACCACCCTAGAAACTCCCCAAAAGATTTACTCCTGCTAGCTCAGTTGGCCAGCAATGTATGTCTAACATACATAAGGCCCTGGGCTCAGCACTCAACACGGCATAAGTCAGATGTAGTGGTCCACAGGCAGGGAATGCCGATGCTTGGGAGGGGGAGGCAGGGAGGGGAAGGCAGGAACGGGGAGGCAGAGAGGGGGGAGGAGGTGGGGAGAGGGGGCTCAGGAGTTAAAAGGCATTCAGGGCTACATAATGAGTTGGAAGCTAGCCTGGGCTACATGAGATCTTGTCTCAAAAAAACAAAGATGGGCTTGAATAAATGTGTTTGTTGGGCTTTCAATCTATATACACAGTTAAGGAGGGGCAGAGGAGAACACAGAAGGGAAAGTGGGGTCCCCACTTGAGACATAAAAGACAGCAAGAAAACAGTACCTGCAAAGCTGCCTGCAGGAAACCTGGTGGGAAGGGGGCAGGGAGGCACTTCACTGAAGACGCGGTATGGTCACCAGGAGAGAGGCCCAGGCAGATGTATTACAGAGAGACAAGGGACCAGCTATAGACTTGATCGTCAAAGCCTGCCTGGAGCTGTGTGGAGTGCAGGGTACAGGCGTGAGGGCTCGCCCGGACTCACCTGTGGCCAGAGGTGGTGCTTCAGTGAGGAATCGCTGGCACTGGCGTCGATACTCCCGCCATTTCTGCACTGTCTCCGAGAGGGACACAGTGGCGCCCTAAGAGGGGAAGCAGAAATGGAGGCCCTGTGGCTCCAACAGCCCCTCCCAGTCCTAGTTACCCCCTCCCAGTCTTTTGGTTTCTTAATCTCCCGGGGATCGAAGCCCACCCGTGACTGCCACTTTGAGGATCCAGGCAGGACCTTTTGGTGTGGCTGTCCCACCCAGGGGACCGTGCAAGGCTGACGTGTAGAAGTCCCCAACAATGGTCTGAAGGATTGATGCTTAAGGAGGTGGGGTGAAGGAGAGGGCAGAGGGAGACTGTGACTCATTCGTGGTCCCATCTGCCCTTCATCTACCCTTAGCAAGGAGAGACTTCCTGAGGGACGGGGCTGCATCACAGCCCGGGGCTCCTCCTCTCCTGGTGTTTGGTCACGCAGAAGCTGTCTTGCTTACGACCATTCTAGGAGAGTCGAGAGAAGACTCCAGCAAAGGCACACAACATCTTGCGAAGCAGAGCTAAGGCTGGTACACAGAGCCACCTAGCTCAGTGGTTAACCTGCAATACCCAGGGATGCAGGACACCCGAGGACGCAGGATATGGTCACTCTGAGGACTTATAAAGAGGCAGAATTATCACCCACTCCCCCTGCCAGACTCAACCGCGGCCGGCCGTCGGAGGGCCACAGATCCTCCCATGCCCCGGTGTCTAACACAATGCAGATCTGATGTGCAGCCTGGCTTCTAAGCCTCAGGAGGATAAGGGGTGCTAAGGGAAGGGTGGAGACAGAAAGGTCCAGAACACTAAAGTTGTGCCTGCACTGGGCGATGTCCTCCTGCCTGCGACAGAGGGATGGAGCCTAAATAAGTTCAACAGCACTGGTTTTTGAGCTCCAACAGACCCTCTCCACTGAGCACGTCCCTCCCTGCATATTTCTGAGTGCCCCCTTTAGCCAGCCTTGAGCTGAAGTGCCTTTTAATTTTTTTTCACAAACAGCCTTACAGATTATAAATATTACCCATTTAGAAGTGATAGATGTCAAGATGAACAAAAAGCCCCTTGCATTAAAGCTAGGATTTATACACAATCTAATTTGCATATGAGTGCATGCATGTGTATGGGTGCACACAAAGAACACACGTGTGCATCATGAATGTGGGGGTCAGAGGGCAGTCTGTGGGAGTTGGTTCTCTCCTTCCAACCACATGGGATTCTGGGGACCAAACTCATTGTCAGACTTGCCAGGAAACACCCAATGAGCCATCTCTCCAGCCCAGAAGTTCACTTTTTGAAACCACATGATGCACACAGGTGCTGATATGAAGTGGCTCATTTTCAGGTGCCTGACCCCCAAAATTCCAATGCACCTCCACCTCCACCCTGCCCCCAGCCCCCAGCCCCTGACACACACACAACAGATCTGATGTCTGGGTGAGCTTGCCCTGGTTTGAGCAGAGTCCTAGTTCCTATGACATCACCACAGAACAACACACAGTGACATGTGTTTGTTCCTAGTGAAATGGAAAGTTCCAGAAACAGGAAGGGGTCAAGCTTGCTCTGAATGCCACCAACATCTCCAGAGGAAGTGTGCCGGTGATCCTGCCCTGAAGGACACGTTCTTCTAGGAGCAAAGGTCAGAAGCATTTGTTTGGAGAATAAAAAAGAAAAGAAAAAAGGAAATCGAATGTGCCAACAGCAAAGGTGGTTTGTGACTGAAGCCACTGCAGAGGGGAGGCAGAGTCACCAGACTAAATCATGGTGGACTGGGGCCACCTCCCCCAAGGCCTTTCCCTATTTCCCTCCTCCTCTATTCTCATTGCCCTGAAGGCAGTGGCGCAGGTGAGGGCAGGCAGCAAGGAGAGGAATCCCACAATGTCTGCTCTTAGTAGAAGTGGCAGAAAGCAAGGCCATTGCTGGGAACTGGGGCAGCAGGTGTGTCTAACCAGGGAGTGAGAGGAGACCCAAGAAACCAGCATCTCCCAGTGGAGAGGAAGGGCCAGAGGCTGGAAACAGGACCTTGACGGCCAGCCGCCATGAGAGCTGCAAAGAGGCTTTGACTGGACAATGACTAGGAGCAGAGCAAGGACATGAAACTTCACTTTAGACCGGGGCTCTGTTAGGACAGGACTTTGATTCTGCCCCCCCATCCCACCCCCATAGTGGCATTTCATTTGTATTTTAATAAATAAAGCTTGCCTGAAGATCAGAAAAGTAAAACAGCCATACTATACTGGCCAGACTTACAGACAAGGCAGCAATGACACACACCTTTAATCCCGGTAGCCACACTGGTTTGCCATAGAAACCAGGCAGCAGAGATACACGCCTTTATCCCAGAACTAGAGAGGAATATAAAATGGGAGGAGATAGCTCTTAGTCTCAGTCTCATTCTGAGGTTTCCTGGAGGCAGGACTGCCATTTTCGGACTGAAGTCGAGGTAAGAGTCAGTGGCTGGCTGCTTTGCTTTTCTGGTTTTCAAGTTGAACGTCAACATCTGTATCTGAAATTTTTTATTAATTGTGCAACACTCCCCAAAGTCACAGAGTGTCCATTGTAGACGGTGGGGTGTAGAGGAGACGGTGGGCAGACCCTGTCCTGAGAGTCCTCAGGCTGTCTGAGGCTGGGGCTGAACGCTTTGCAGGCAGGACAGATGAGGTAAGAAAGCCGTGGTTGTGTGACCTCAGGGAGTGGTCCGGTCAGGTCTCAGTGCTGGCCTGAGAGGTCATCTAGGGGCTAAGAGGTAGAAGAAAGGAAAATGGAGGCTGGCCTAGCAAGGAAGATGGGCATTTCAACAGGAAGGCATAGGAACGAAGATAGAGGTGAGCGGGCTGGGGAGTCTATAGAGTGCGTCCTGCAAACCCATGAAAACCATGAAAGTTTATATTCCACACAGAGAACTCAGGTGGAAATCTGGGTGCAGTGGCACAGACTTTTAATCCTAGAGCCTGGACAGTGGGGACTGGGGGATCCCCGAGGGCCACTGCTTAGCATAATAATCAAGCTCAGAGACAGCGATGATCAGGTCTCAGAGACAGAACCCACCACCCCAGAAGCAAAACAAAATAAACAAAAAGTTAAATGGCTCCAGAGGTCAGATGTGACCTCTGCCCTCCACACACATGCACACATGCATGAAGGCATGCATGGTCACAGCTAATGTACTTCCCCACATCATGTACACATGTGTACATGTACACATGCATGCCCACAGAGATGTCCAGGGCAATTCCTGGGCAAAGAGAATGGAAGCCAAGATAGGATCTGGGATAAGCCTGGTTGAGACTGGAGCCATTGGGTGCAACAGGCCCCGGAGTCCAGGGGACAAAGCAGACAGTGGACAGTGAGTAGCCCTAGTTTGGGGGTCAGATCTGTACTTTGTCCTAAAGCTCTCCTATTATTCAGGCCTGTGATCCTGCACATATTTAAGCTTCTAACCTCAGCTTGCCTGTGTGAAACGAGCAACAAGAGTCCATGCGTGGAGGGCCACGACAGCTAAGCTGCTGTTGACAATGGCCCCTGGCACATGGAAGAGGCTGGCCCTGAGGATTCCAGTGTGTAGAAGACAGGCTGGAACCCCAAACCTGGTTTCCTGAATCTGGGGTCTTCCTTACAAATTCAATAAATTCCCAGAAGGGAGAAATTAACATGGCTGTCCCAGGGCAGAGACGCTGGTTAGGACAACAGGTCGGGAGCCTCAGGGCCAGGTCAGGCTAGTATTTCCCAGGACCAGCGCTCTGGAGTACTTGGGGGAAGAAAAAAGTGGGTTGATGTCCAGGTGGAAGGGACAGTCAGGAGGGGACGTCCCTAGGAGAAGTAGCAAGAGATGCAGAATGGAACACCAAGCTTAGAGCCATCTGCTCCGTCCACAGCCTGCACCCTGGCACAGGGCACTGGCCACAGGCTCAGCATGAGCGTGTGCACCAGGGCTTCTCCTTTTCTGGGAGCCATTTGGGTTGAGGTATAGGAGAAAAAAGGGCTCAGTCTCACCTGACCACTGAAGAGGGAGGAAGGAGAGAGGTGGGATCCCTCAGAAGGAGCAAAGAGGGCTAGAGCCCCCAACAAGAGTTAGCCCTGCAGATTCTCTGCCATTTCCTCCTGGGACGACACACTTCTCTTCTGGTCCCTCTCAGAGCCTGGATCACACATCCATTTGCTGAGCCCTGTATTTTTGTGTCCATATTTTGTTCTCTTAAGGTCTTTCCTGAGGTAGCTGAGGAGAGCGGCAGGGCAAGGCAAGCTGCAGGCACCGTCTCTCAGACTCAGGTACCTCCTCACAGATACACTGTCACACGCCAATACCCCGCAAACCCTCAGGGATGTTCCCAGCGCTGAGACCCCGACACAACATCACACACAGACTGCAGGTGCACAGGCACATGCTGAAACACTGACCAACACACATGCACACACACACCTGACCCACACAACCACACACATAAACACTGGCACAAACACACTACCTCT